TGATAGATGTAACCTGTAGACCTCAACAAATGAACCAATTAATTGGGCTAGATATATTTTTAATATTGCAATCAGATACAACAAGTATTCAGACATGAGAATTACTTCATGTGAAGGTGAGAAATCTTGAGGTCATTCTCCAAAGACCTCATTAGTTCACATTTGGTAATAGAAACAAAAACGAGGAAATTATATAAAATTACTGGGAATCTACTTATAAAGACTTTTGGTATTATTTTTAGTACAGTTTGCTTCCCTGGAAAAATAGAGAGGTGTAAATTCAGAGTATCAATGTTGTAGTCAGTTCTCCTCCTCCCACTATTTGCAGCCCTCCAAACTGGATAGTTTCCCCTGGAAATTCAGGTTTATCTCAGTTGCTGTGTAAGCAATGCCTCTCCACACACTCTGCTCCCTTTCCTCTCAGTCCATTAAATGGGCTTAGAACTAGATCACCTTTAAAACTTGGAGCCTGGTAGCTCAGTGACAAAGACTGTGGTATATACATTTATCCTGAGAGTCTTGCTACCAAATTTGTCTCATGGGACAAATCCTTGGTGTCTGTGAAGTTCCCAGATCAAAGACAGCTGATGCAGTGAATATTTTGACCTAGTCATTTGGGTGTAGGTTCTGCCAAGGATTCCACATTGAAATCCTGGTCAGTTGACCTGCCTGGCCTATTAGTTTCCTCCACAGAGCAAGAACATGAATAGATTTTGGTGTTCTGACACCTGGCATAATTTCTCCTGCAAAAAAGGCAACTTATCAAGCATAGTTACCACTACTGTATTTTGGAAAAATAATTCTATCTAAATTTCCATCTACTGTGTTCTGCCTCTCAGTAGGCTGTCCCAATTAACGCAATGCTAAGACTTAGTGTTTCCTATGCTCTCTGGACCCTGATCTGCAGCTGAGAAATCCCACACTTTCTCACCAGTCCTTGATCTTGAATCAAGTGCATGCTTTAGGACTCTGATTCTCTAAGGTAGGCACGGTACCATTTTCATGTTACAACTGTTGTTACAAAAGGATAATTTATATTGTAGTAACATGGAAGAAATCCAGAATGTAAATACCATACCTATTTTTTTTTCATTTCCTTTTTTATTGTTAAGCTAAAGCAAAGGGAGAAAATGGCCTTTGTAATGATTGTATAGTCTTGATGGGGTGTGAAGTAAATAAAAAAACCCTATAAAATAGCCAGGACAGAAAAAAAGAAATGCAACGTTTAAACTTATTTTCTGATACTTCATCTGTAAACATTGTTTGCAAATGTTTTAAAGTTAATTCACTTTCTAAAACATTTTATAAATTTCATTATAGTAATAGGGTTGGAGAGAAAAAAATATCTCCCTCACTTTCCCTAGGCACAAATTTACTTTTTAGGTACCACTACTGAAGAATTTCTAATTTGGCTCATAACTTCAGTGGGAATTTAGTGCACATAAGGGGCACATATGTAATTGGCAACCTAATTTTCTGCTTTCATCAAATGGTGCAATGCCAAATCTTCATTGAATTTGCCAGTTAAATGCACTTGGGAACCAAACAGCAGCAAGCATAGGAGATGAAAATGAACAAACTGGAAAGAGTCTATTAACTTTCTGTCTTCCTATCACAACAAAAATTATATCATTAAATGTGTAGCAATGTGGGAAATTCTACTTGAAACATTAAACAATCTTAAAAGAGAATAATCCATTTACTTTACTTCTAAAATATTGTTTACTATAATTTATAAATGGGATTTCTAGTACTATTTTTTTTAACAAAAATACAAAATAGTTAAAATGAATCAACTTGTTAGAAATGGGCTTTAGGTGACATTTTTATGTTTGTTTTTTTTTATCTAGTATATGTAAACTCTAGACTTCATTTGACAAACAAAATTGTTAGAAAATTAAGAAGTGTTGGTTTTATTTAATACCTTAATGAATAAAGGCAATGGACAGATTGTAATCGTTCTAATTATGGATGCAATTGAGAGTGTGAAAATTACCATCAGTTGTGGTTATCAGAAATGCCCTTGAAATATCTGGCCTAATATGTAATTTTGAAGTATGCAATATAGAGTCATTATTAAATTACCAATATTGATGACAATTAGAGAACAATAAAAGCAACACAAACTTGGCCAATATAATTGAGCATCATCCTTAAAGAGGGACAAAACTTAAAAAAAAAATCCATTTACAGCTCTTAAGTAAACCACATATGATGAGGGACACAAAAAAACCCCTAGAATTATCTTTTATAGGGCAGGCCCCTTGTACTACAGGCTTCCCTTCCCTGCATCCTCTCAACTAGGTGAGTGTTCTAGGCACCCATTTGTATCAGTGTACCAGCTGGCACTGTTGTGAGAGGTTGCGTTTGGCTTCAGTGACTTTTTTTTTTTTAAGACTCTTTCAGCGTATTTGCCTGTTTCATGATGGGTGATTTTCGAGTGCATATGCCCACACTACTCTGAGTGTTCAGTAGCTTTTGACAGAAAACAGCATGATCCCTGTGACCCATCCTTGCTATTAACCTGATTTCGACTCTGGTGACTTTTTTTGGTTTCCCTTGATGAAAAAAAAGTCCTCAAAGGGAAAAGTTTTGCTGATGTGCAAGGGGTGAAACAAAAAATGGCAGAAGCATTAAAATGCATTAAAATCAATGAGTTAAAAAACTATGTTGAGCAGTGGAAAGAAGTGTCTTGATAGGTATATTGCATCAAAAGGAGAGTACTTTGTGACTGAAGTTTAAACATGTAAGAATAAATACACAATTTTTCATAAATAAATTCCAGCTTTTAGGTCCCCCCTTGTATTTATTTGCTAAGTGCAAATATTTAGATCAGGAATATCTTTTCTAAAAAATTTTCTTTTGCATTGATAGTGGGATTCTTTAGTAAAGACTTAGAAGAAAAGTTTCCTAACTTTTTTCATCTATAAGTCTAAGAAGTTAGGACATTTTAAATCCTTTCCAAACCCTTAGAAATGAACATTTGTCAACACTTCTTGCAATAGAAAAAAAGGTAGAAGGAAAAATGCCAAAAGATTTTAGATCACTTTATTTTATGATTATCCAAAGCTCTAAAGAAAGTACTTAAATTTTCAACTAACCCAGGAGTTCTGAGTAGGAGGCTGTATGGGCAGTAAAGACAGACTAAGGTTGAGTTCTGGCTTCATCACTTGATCTGTTTGGAACCTAAGATTAACTACCTACTTCCCCAAACCTGACTTTTGTGATCTCTGAAATTGTAGAAATGATAGTATCTTTTTAAAATGCAAGTACACACACATTAAATCTCAATATCCTTTGATAGTGTGTCCATTTTCCAATACTTAATCAAAGAAGCTATTATGTCCAGTATTTATATGTTATTGATATATTTGTCCACTGGTCCCTACTTGGCACCCTTTCTTAATTATTGATATATGCTTAAGCCACTTTTAATGGACTTAGACTCTAAACTCTTTATAGGAAACATAAAGGAATTAGGGGAAAGGAAAATCAATGTGAAAAACCTGAAGACATAACAATGGTCATGAGCCACTTATCAGGAGAGAAGATATAATAACTGAGTTATCAACCTTTCCACCATCTTGCACCCCCTAAATGTTTGTCACATTTACTTAAAAGTAAAAGTTTCCCACAGTTGTCTGCCCTCCCTCACCAAAGCAGAGTTGTCCTTCTGCCAAAGTGCACATCAACTACTAACATTCATTCAAAAACAAACCTTGATTTTACACCCAGTTGGTTGATATTTCTAAAGTCAGATCATGGCCAGTTAGATTATTTAGAAAATGTGCGCACACGCACACACCTCCTTGAAAGAAATATAGATTGCTTGATTCCTGGACTCTGTTTCCCAATACAGTAATGCACCAGATCACAAAGATCCTGTAATCTTGGCAGGAAACTAGTTAGGGTATAAGGGAGGTGATGCCAGGTGTACAAACTTAACTTTGGGGATGTACGAGTATCACCTATCTAGAAATGGTCCTATACGCTAACATAATGTGTTAAAAAATGTTTCACATACACACAGTTAAATGCATTCCATCTGCTGTACTGCCTACTAAAGACATAAATATATAGGAGTGGAGAGAAGAAGGGCATGGATGGGAAAGAGTTCAGGACCCGGTATAAACGTGAAAGGAAATGAGACAGTGCAATGGGAGAGAGAATTAAGGAAAAGTAAATTATGTAAGCAACAGCACCATGTATTGAAGTCTTCTCCATCTCTAAAGCGGCAAACTTCCTCCAGGGGCCCATCTGTCAAAAAATGGCAACATGGTAGCTGGTTCTGTTTGGAATTCCTGCGTTGTCCAGGACCGTAGGTGTAGGAACCCAAGTTCCACTCCAGTTCACAGTCCCGATGCTTCCATTATCCTACAGAAAAATTCATCGCTGTAAATGGTTCCTGGAAGGTGTGACCTGCTTTTAGGAAGGAAAGACCTGTCAGGATGTTAATAGGTTGGGTGAAGGTGAAAGGGGAGAAAGAGCCTCACAATTTCCTCCCTGAGAGGAGAAGAAAGAAGACAACATTAGAGGTTTGGAGAGAAAAGATCCACTGCACTTTCAGATCTTCATGGTCCCTTCCTTTTGGCTTTAGGCCCCTCTCTTATTCTCTCTTGACCTGCCTCTGCGCTTGGACTCGACTTATGCAAAAGGATGGGCTAAAGGGAAAGCCAAGTCAGCACGGTCAGATACGGCTTCCCATGAAATGAAAACTCAGCAGCCGGCCGGCAGTGGGTGTGCGCGCGTTAATGTGTGAGTATGTGTGCGTGGAAACCAGCGGACGCAGTTGGCCCGGCGCCGCCCCAGCCCCTCCCCCCACCAAACCCTATAAAGGCCGCGCTCGCCACCGCCCTCCTCACAGTCGAAACGCTGCCTGCCGGGGAGGTGGCTCCCGGGCTCCCCACGCAGTCACACTCCGCGCACTCACACACTTGGAAGCGCCTCCCCACGTCCCTCCCCTGCCCTCCTCTTGCTCTGCTCTTCTCTCTCTCACCACAAATAGTCGCCGACCGACTGCCAATCCGCCTCTCTCTCTCAACAACATGACTGACTGGGAAGCGGTGGCTCAGGCAGAGCAGCTCTGCGGGCGCAGGCAAGAGGAGCAGGAGGATTATTAAATAACGCAGCTCGACTCTGTGCAACTGGGAGTGGAGAGAAGGAGCCCAACAGCGGAGAAGGGAGGGAGGGCAGAGGAGGGGGTCCAGGAAAGACACCCCCGTGCCCCGAAGACATAAACCCCGGAGTGCCCGGGAAGAGCCTTAACAAGCGGCGCGGAGCCCTCAAGGTAGTAACGCCCCAGATGCCACCGAGCCCGGAGGGTCGCGCGTCGCGTCGCCGGGGCCAGCTCCAGGCGGACGCCGGGACGACCGCCCGGCAGGTGACCGCGTCGTGCTCTGGCCGCCCTGGAGCAGCCCCCGCCCAGGCCCGGGGCACCGGGAGCTGGCCCAGCCTGCGCGGCGCGGAGACCTGGCCTTGCGGGCGGGGTGGGAGGGAGGCGGACGGGCTCGCTCCCTGCTGGCCGGTGACTCCCGGCGGGCTGCGTGGCCTTTCACTCAGTGCTCCAGATCGCTCTGCTCCCTGGAGGCGCTGTCGTCGCTCCAGGGTGATGCGGAGTGTGGCCGGCCCAGGAGGGAAGAGTTGGCGCAGGGTCGGGGCCGCTCCTCTCTCTCGCCGCCCGCGTCCCGCAGGTTGGGGCGCCCGGGCTGCGGACGCCAGGGCGGGGGCGGGGGCGAGGAGGGGGAGGGGCGGGGAGCCCAGGGCTCCTGGCTGGAGCCGCAGTGCCGGACCCGGACCGCCTCGTGCTCCCGCGTGCTTGTCCTCTGGCTCTGGCTTCCTGGATTGGATGGGAGTCCCTCCCCGGCGGCGCAGGAACAGCAGCGACTTAGTGTGAACAAATTGCTTTGTGGTGGCGTGTCAAGGGCTCCAGGAAGGGGTGTGAGTGTGTGAGTGTGTGTGTGTGTGTGTGTGTGTGTGCGCGCGCGCGCGCGCGCGCGTTTGTTCGTTCGTGTGTATTCGCGCTCCCGATTAATCTGTGCGCTGGTCCACCTGAAAAGAAAATCAGTCCTGAGCCGAAACCGCAGGTGGCCCCTTGGGCCCTCTTATCTTTTGGCTTGTTTCTCTGGGGCTGACAGGGTACCACCCCGCGGTAGAGGTGACGGAGGGATTTGTGAATGGTGCCTCCCTGCGTGTGGAAGGCTGAGCCTTGCTGATGTCAAGGAGGAGGTATCCCGAGTGAGAAGAAAGACTATTTATGGCAAAGAGTTGTGAAATTTCTCGGGGTTCCTTTCTGTGTATCTTAAGTTTCATTCTCTCTCTCCCTCCTTCTCTGTCCCATCTCTCCCCTCTTCTTTCACGGAATCAGAAGCAATTTTGCTTTCCCCCTTTTGTCGTGGGACCTGTAATATGAAATGAAGGAAGTCAGAAAGTCACTTGTCTTTTACAGGTGGAGAAAAATGCTTCTTAGATCTCTTGCCCTTTAGTGTTTTTGTGTAGTTATTCTCTACTCCTCTTAACGCTGCAGGCCATCAGTAGGACCCACAAGACAGAAAGTACCTACTTGATTTCAACAGCTTTTATTTCTAATATCTTTACAGTTGAATAGCTTCCCACTGAAATGTAACACATACCCTCCACCCCTATCCCTAAGAAAGGCTGTTAAAAATGATGTGCACTCATATTTTACTATGAAGATGGTTTTATTAAAAGTGTTGGGGAGGAAAGAGAAGCGGACACGTAACTGAATTTATATTGATTATTACCGATTAAAAAATTAAAAACTAACTATTAAGAGAAGACCTAAAATACAGTTTCAGTTTCTCTTTCTATTTGCCTTTTAACAGGTACAGATTCCAAACGCATTATGTGAAGCTTAGATATAAGTTGAGACAGTGTCTGTCAACTGTGCTTTAGCAAAAATGCATGTGCTTTAAAACTTAGCAGCCCATGCTTTTACAAATTGCTTTGTGGTGGCGTGTCAAGGGCTCCAGGAAGGGGTGTGAGTGTGAGTGTGTGTGTGTGTGTGTGTGTGTGTATGTGCGTACGCGATCGTTGACTGGGTTGTGACTGAGATGGTAGGACAGTGTTCTTATTATTTTATTTTTAAAAATATTTTGTTGTTTGTGCTATTACAACGATCCAGATTTTTCCCTCTTGTTCCCCTCCACCCAGTGTCATTATTTTAAACTGGTGTATTTCTAAGGCCAGCCTGCGAAGCACAGTGTTTTTAAAACATTGAAATTCCATGTTGCGACCACCCCTTCAATAATTTCGTAGAGAAGCTAGAGAAGTAAACTGATTGACCTCTTGTATGAATGACTTGTCTTCCTTTTATATTAATTAGGGAGCTCCTTATTTTGATCAAAACATGCCAACTGTTTTAAGGTGTTTTCCCCCTGACTGTGCAAGTAGCTTTCCTTATCACTCCTATTCATATTTAAGACAGAGCAGAGTTAAGGATTTGTTATTTTGATTTGGTTATGTTCATATTAGTTTAAAATACATTTTCAACATTGGTGCATGGGCAGCTTTATATATTATCTTAGGATGAAGACTGAGAGCCCCACGGAGGGTTGTTCCTGAATCACTGCAGTGTAGAAGAAATACTGAGGAATTTTACTTGATGAACTGTGTTATTATAATTATTAAAAAGTCATATTTATGAGTATTTTGTTTTTTGACACTGTCAGAATCAGGAACTGTTTAATGGTGCATCATTTATACTATAGGATGTAAATACATCAAACTCATGAAGTTGCAAATTGAAAATATATTTTATAATTATTCAACTCTTTAGTGCATTTTATTATTCAACATAGCACTCGTAGTAGACAACCTGTCATGTGCAAGTTACTTTCTAGACATTGTACAGAACGTGGTTTTGTAGCTCTCAGCCCATCAGGTACTTTACATTTGGGAGGAATCTGATGCTCATGCTTGAACAGAGTTAACAACTCATGGCAATAAGAGATTGCATGTCTAATGAGGACTGCAGGGGTTCAGAGCATGATAATAACATTTCATACTGGGTTTTGTTTGAAAGGCCTTCAGAGGTGGGTAGATTTCCTTGGTCTTGATCTTACAGGATAAATAAGATTAGTGGCTTATGGATGAGAATATGAAGTATAAGATGCAAGTCTCTTGGAATTGTAGAAAAGAACAAAAGATGTGAGAAAAGATAAGTTTGATTTGAAATAGATTTAGATATTGCAAAGTGGTTGAATTTGTTGTTCCAAGTGCAGGGTGAGTCTGTTTTTGATATAAAACATTTTGTACACTCTATTCTTGGAATGAATTTTCAACACATGTTTTTGTATCTTAGAAGACAAATGTCTGACTTTATATTGCCTTTTAATGAAAAAAAGTGCTTGACATGTATTTGTAGACAATGCTTACTCTAAAATATTTAAATATACCACATCATACTAAATGTTGAATTTGGTATTAATAACAGTGTTGCACATACAACCTCTTTAAAGCATATTTGAGGTACATCGTTAAGCAACCCTTCTTAGATTTTCTCTAAAAAAAAAAGTATGAGATATGTAGAAAAACAGCTGTATAATAATAAGCATTTATTGAGGGCTTTCTATTATATTCTTTGTATAAAATACATAACCCATTAAACAACATATTTTATATAATATTTTTAAATATGAGTGCATCCACATAATAGTTCATATATCATGTTATATCATGTAATAGTTCATGTTATTTTCCATGAAGGGCTTGTGGAGAACAATTTTAGAACTGTAGCAACAATTTTAAAGATATTTTAACTGTATTCTGGTAAATAGATTGTATTAGTAATGGAAACATTTCTCTAAGCATTTGGAACTTAGTTGTTTTCTTTGTATGTATGTTTGTTTTTATAAACATACAAAAATATTTAAAATGCACTTTTCCATTTTAAGACTACAAGGGGAAATGTGTGAATTGACTTTTAGCCTGTCTTTCAATATGACATTACAGAAGTATGGTATGGTGACAGTAAAGAAATAGTACAAATATTAGATATAACTATCAATAAATAACAATACAATTATTGTATTTTCATGTTAGTTGAATTAAAAGAGTTTCTCATATATTTATTTTATTGACAGTGAACAGGTAAGAGTTATTAGAAAAGTGAAAAACCTATTAAATCACCTATTTCATATCTGTGCCGGAATGGGATGATTTCCCAGGTAGTCAGAGTACAAACCAGACTATCTGTTAATTGGTCTGGTTTGTAACTTTCGAGTTTGGTTTTGGACTGTATGTCCCAGGTGTATCACTTTGATAATATAATCTCTCCTACTGTGTGACTGACAGCTTCTGCATGATTTTCCTTTTGGTAGTGACAAAATCTGTTGGATTTATATTGAGAACATTCGCTTCTATCAGCAGTATTATCTTTGCTATGCATGAGTGTCAGTTAAAAATAAAACATAAGGTCTGGGCTGGGATAGGCAGTGAAAAAAGATGAGGAGATTTCAATATACAGCTTAAACTAAATATAATATAAAAATGGAAAAATTACCAGTCTGAACTGCAGTGGATACAGTACCAAGATACTGTTATCAGTTTTTATTTTTAAGTTGCCATATTGCATTTTAATCTTTTCATGTGGGCTAAATAAAATGCCAACAAAGTGTTGAAAGTGCATACTAGGTTCTGTGATATAATGCTAAAACTTTTTTACAAAGCTTTCTATTTAGGTAATTGACAGGTGAAATTTATTGTTTGGCTAAATTGTGGCCCTGTACATAGATTAATTTAAAACATAGCTTTTGATTTTGCATTATTTACACTGTATTAACAATTTTTAAATTTCAATTAAACCAATTAAAATTTTGAATACCATAACTGTTCTGAAACGAAATAAAATCTAAAGATCATTTAAAAGAAAACATCTTATCTAATGGCAAATTCTTAACCTAAAGTGGTAGTTCTCAAAATGCGGTTCCCTGAGCAGCAGCACCGGTGCATTGTTTAAATGCCAATCCTACTGTTACAGGTGGGCACAGGTAACCAAGTTCTTGGTGATTACGGACAAAAAAATTGAACCGAACACACAGAGTTTATAGCAGAAAGAGAGGGAAAGCAGATTTGTTAAGCCACACAGATCATGGGAGCAGGCCAACTCTGAGCAGAGCGGAGCAGAGCCGAGCCTGGAGGCTCCGACCTCTAGAGGGCTAGAGGGCTTTTATTCCTTTAGGGTGGGTCTCTCCTGGCTAGTTTCTGGTGGGCTTTTATTGCGCATGTACAAGTAGTTATGTTATTTTAAAGTTACTGCACAGGTGGTCT